TTCCTTGCGTATTATATTTTTGCTACATATTAATATTTTAAGTATTCTATATTTTCCATAAGAAATATGAACATTTCTGTGTTTTATCAGACAATAATCTATTTCTTCTGTATAAATATTAAATTTGTACAGCATACTTATAATAGTTTACACACAAAGATTCTCTTTTTATTTTAATAAACATTTTTTTTTCAATTTTTCAATGTCGTGAAATGGCGCAAAATGTGCGATAACGGCCTATCTTTGAAATATAACAATGAAATATTCAGCATGATTTTATTTTAGAAAGCTTTAAATTTTTCGAAGCTATAACCGACCTGCTGATGGCAATAACAACGCGGCCTTGGTATTCGTTATTGCCGTGTACACTGTGTATACAGCGCGTTGTGTTTACGCAAGGTCGCCGCGCTACCATTTGCACATTGAAACTCGAACCGGCAGGTCGTTGCGGAAATCGTTCCGTATGTCATCGTGTTATTACCCTTCGAAATGTGATCGTGACAAGTAAATATTAGAAAATATTAAACACCGTCATGTTACGTGATTATTAAGCCCTCCGCAATATTGGACTTTAAAAAGATACAGTCGATTTTTGGATTGTGAATTTTGTTGATAAATTTAAATCTATAAAAAATAACTGAAATACAATCCAATTTCTATGACAGTGCAATCTTATTATCAAAGCTTTCACAAGTATGTAAGAATTTTTTCAGACTTTTATACACTGAAATAATATAAGAATCTGAAGGTCGAAGATTCAGGTTACAAAAGATGAAAATTTCACATTGCCAACAAAGAATTAGAATAAAATAATTATTAGACCACATAATTAAGGATTTGTAAATGTATCGAGATGGCTATTGCTTATCGCAAAAATATTGTGTGTAATTTATTTTATTCGGAATAGGAATTGTATGGAACGGAATAGAGAACGGGAATAATATACTATTGTTTCGCGATAATGGGTAATTAATTATGTACATATCGCAATTTAGCGATACCTACTTGGATATGATGAAGTTCGTATTTTGAATTTTTGATTTAAATATAATTTGCCTATTATTTAGCGATTAATAGAGCGGAATAATATACAAATCACTCGATCAAGTTATTCTAGTAACGAGAAACTGTGTTATATCGATTATACATTAATAATTAATTTGAAATAGAAAAAATGGAATGAAAAGTAATAAATGTTAATAATTGGGCAATGAGAGCATTATTACATCGCGGTAGTTGGAGCGTAATTAATATAATATATTGTTGACAATTTCACATTCGGTTAAATACAAACTAATTGATGTGTGATTAATGTGTGAACATTTCGATTTCTTTTAAATCATCGTCAGTAATGTTGAGTATAATTAATTTTCTTTCAAAGTCGATACATAAAATTTTTCCAATAATTTCATATGACATGTTGCATATGGAATTACTGGTTATGATCTATTAAAGCAGAGGGTGAGTTGAAAAATATAAACTTATATCATTTCATCATAATTCAAATAAATTTATCATTATTGTAGTACTCATTCGTAGTCACTTGATTAAGCAGCGAAGAGACAAAATTCTCAACTATAAAGTAAGAAAAAGTTTATCCTCTGTCGGTTTTAGAAATTAAATTCCAACAATTGCGGATCAAGAATTGCGGATCAATTTTATGTATAGACATAAAAGAAAATTAATTATACTCAACATTGCTGAAGATGGTTTGAAAGAAACCGAAATGTTCACATCAATCAGTTTGCATTTAATCGAATATAAAATATTATCAACAATATATTATAGTAATTGCGCTTCAACTACCGTGATGTATTAATGCACTCTCACTATCCGGTTATTAACACTTATTAGTTTTCGTTTGAATCTCGTGAGCTCTATTAAAAACTTAGTATATAATTTTTTTTTAGAAAAAAAAACGGAATGTTTAACGTACAATTATTTTCCAGCCTACGTTAAATGCGTGTCGGCTGGACTAAATGTGTACGACCTTGTAACGTTTGTTTGGGTACGCAAGATCATTACAAGTCGAGATGTCATTCATGTGGCGATACTCGAATCAGCAGGTAGCGCGTCGTGTAATGATCGAGAGTGCCGAGTAAAGTACGAGTGATTATTTTATTGCAATCATTAACATGCGCGTTCGTGTTTTTGCAAGAATTATGTTATGTCGTGTACGAATAAGCAATGAAGGAATCTAACAATGAGAAGAGCCTCGAAGTCTATAAGTGGTATCGAGCGACGGCGGAATAACAATGGGGTGAGTAAATAATTATCTTTTCATTCATTGTTACTTGTTACAGAAGTAATCATTGTATGCGCAGATAATAATGATTTTTCTAGATATTTATAAATTATTTTAATCGTTGCTATAAATAGATACATATATTTTTATTTTGCAGATCAATGCAGTTTCTATCGCAACCCTGTATGCATCGTATCGGTGTGTGTGTGTGTGTGAGTGACCGAATATTATTTTTAATATTACTACTCTATCTGAATCAATGGATAATCTCTGATATCAATGTCAAGTATGCCATTGTAATCAGTGAATGAAATTTGAAATCCCTAACTTAGCTATAATTTATTGTGATCTAATGATCTAACCTTGTTTCAGTGCATAAATTCAATGAATATGATATTGGAAGAATATGATATTAAAATGAAGGTGCACAAAAAATATCAGTATTTTAATTATATAATTTTCAATTATCTTATGAACATGCTTGGTTGCTCCTCCCTACCCCTTCAAAATGATACGTACAGAGAATATCATTATTTCCAAATAGTAAAAGCTTCGAACAAATCTTAAGAAAAGTCATTTTGTGATATAAATCACCTTAAATTTTGTTCAAATTTCATGAAACACTCCGCAATATTATATGGGTCTTTGAAGTTAGTACTTTTAACATGTGCCAGACAAAGAGCAACAGTACATTTTCAATTATAGCGCAAAAATGGTATTTAGAAATTCGCTCAAAAACTACGGGAAAAAAAAAGGACTAGAAATATAATACGAATCTACTAAACCGAAAAAAATGGGGGATAATCAGATAAATATTAATTATAAAAACTTAGAAAGTTGCTTTACTATTTCACTAATATCAACTCATTCTCAAATACCGGCGCACAGTTATTTAGGAAAATAAAAATTACTATAGGGAAAATTATTGTTCAAAAATTGCGATTTTTGAATAGTTATAATTTTTTTGCATCACCCAACGGTGCGTTCATGCGCTGGCAATTGCCTTTTTCCTCTCCCCACAATCTGTTTCTATACGATACAATCACCTTAATAACATTAGTTATGTGGAAATAATAATCGTTCCACTTTTCATAATGAATGTAACGTTTGTGTCTTAAAATATAAAATTATACTCTTATACATATCTTACTTAATACGCTTTTTAATATACTTTTTAATACATTACACAATAATCGTAAATATGAATTCTAGTTTAGATGAATTAGAGTAATAAGATGTAATGAAGAAAAGAAATCTTGCAAATTTTAAATTTTATTTATTCATCAGTGCTGTTTTCCGTGATTTTTATCTATTAATTATATTTTATGATAAATAATCCCGCACAGATCTTGAATGATCTTCAATCTTCTTATAGATCATTGTATTTGTCTTAAAATGCTCTATCAGAGTGTAAGCGAAAAAAACATATTCTATTTAAAAAAACAGATTTGACCTTTGTCTATCCTTTGCACCTCCACTTACAAAACAATTATTGACGTCATATTATATGCCCCTCAAAACCAAGCAACTTCTGTTTGACATTTTTTCTTCTACTGTTGAAAACATGCGAATTATTCAGGTGACCTGTTTTAAATGCTTCTCCCTGTATATCCATGATGTATTATAATTATTTATACAGTATTTATAATTAATGTTAATAAACAAATTTTGAATTATTTTTCCGTATAATACATGATAATCTTCCAAAGATATTGGCAAAAACTAAGGCATTTGGAGGTTTTTGCTCATAAGGACTTTTAATCAGCTTGACATGAACTACAAAATATTAAAATTTGAAACAATTTGATCAAAATTCGTTTCCCATAAGATTTGTGCGGGGTTTTTTATTTATATTTTATGAAAAATCTATAAAGATGAAAGCATTAAAAATTAAATACTAGATTTTAAAGTAATCAAAAGCGGGTAATTCTGCTGGCACCTTCGTCCTCCTGATCTTTTTCGTATTCTTCTTTATTCTCTTCTTCTTCATCGATTCTTTGTTCCCTTACCATATTCGTTGGGCTAGTGTATCTTATGGAATACATTTCGATGTGTTGTCTAGAGATAGGTGAAGAATTATTTCTATTACAAGTGGTTTCTGTATTGCTTCTCTCTTCCAAATTTATCCTCTGAGATGTATAGATTTTTGGCTGCGCGTAAATGACATTATTTGTCGTTAAAAACTGAAAATTTAAAAGATTTTCCAAATTAAGGATGTACGTCTGACGGATTTTTATAAAATGATTTTTATACAATTCAATCATTAATATTATTATATTCTAATTATTATTTTCTAATATACATAAATTGCATTTATATTGAGCATATTAGGAAAACAGTATTTTTATTTATTTATTATCTGTTTATAAAAAATATATATCTCACTAATCCTTTACGGCTTAATGAATATTCACCTCCGTGTTGTCGACATACATTCGCGGGGTAACATAAGCAGTGTCGATTTCCTTCATTTCCGCGTAACATTCGTAATTATTATATGTAGGGATTTCGTAATGATTTGGACTTCTGCATCTGTCGAAGTATTTTGAGTTTGAACTTAAATTACTACAGTAATTTGGATGTGCTGATGGCATTCGGAAAATCTGACTTTCTCGAGCAGGATAAACATAATCGTGGGAAGAACATGACTGCAAACACAGTTCCTTTATTACAAAAAATATTAAATTTTTTTGAACATAAATTAAATTAGTTTACATGATATGATATAAAAATCAATTAAAAGAATTAATTAATTATATTTATAATTAAAATTCTAATAATTGATAACGCACTTTATTAAAAACAATATTAGTATCCAAAATTCGTTATTACTTTAATAATTAAGACTCCTAAGTAGCCACCACAACCATATTAAATTGTGACGTCAGAAGCGAGAAATGACACATTAATTTTTATTGCGTGCAATTTGTAAAGATAATTTGAATAAAATGTTGAGATCGCTTTAAAACAATTTGTCAAAATGAACGAAAACTACCCTTATCCCCTCTGATAGTCAATAAATAATCGATAAAAGATACTTGAAGTGCTTTTATTCAATGCGCATGCGTAGTTTATTTTCACTTACACGTACCTTTTATCACTTCTTTACGATTATTTACTGATTGTCAGGGGGCTAAGCATAGTTTTCGTCCATTTTTACAAATATTTTCAAGTGATCTCATCATTTTATTTCATACAAATTGTCTTTGTTTACAAATGATACATAACAAAAATTAATGTCTCGCTTCTGACGATTCAATGTGACTGTGATGATTATTCATGAGCCTTAATCAAGAGAAAATATAGAGCATTGAAAATGTGTAGAAAATACGTAGCGTTCTAACCTGCCTGATAATTGTATTAACAGTCGAATTGGTTAGTAGGTTGACAGGATTGAATCTTTGTCTTGAATCTTTCCTTTTGGGTGTGTGCGTAATATAATATATCCTTGGTATTAAGACACCGAAAATAATTAAATAAGCCGTAGCAACCGTACCGAAGAAAATGACTGCGTCACGATTTTTTGGTTGCATCAACATGAAGCAAGTCAACCATATTACCCATATTATTAGAAGACCAATAGAAGTGTCGAAGAAGTATTTTTCTTCGTAGTAATTATGTATTCGGATAATGAAGTAGCAAGTGACGAACAATGCAATTAATAAAAATATATCGTATCCTGGAAACATACAATATTGTAATTATAATTTTAACAAGAAAAGCAATACTATAACACAAACCTTGTAGAAAAGTACTACTGAGCACTAGGAGTATTTTTAGGCACTACTGTACTACTACACTACTGTAGTTGTGTAGAAGTATTCAGTAATGTTGAATAGTGCTAAGATCTCCTATATATCCGCGTTTCGGCAAGATACAAAATACAAGAAATGAGTGATGCATCACAGAAACCAACTACTAATGACCCTATTTAAAAAAAAAGCACTTTCAGAGACTCTAGTAGCACACTCTGATCAATATTAAGCACACTCGTTTCCTGCATTTTGTATCTTGCCGAAACGCGGATATATAGAAGATCTTAGCAATGTACAATAGTGCTGTAGTGCCTCAAAATACTTCTAGTGCTCAGTACTTTTCTACAAGGGTTGCTTTTGAATGATTTAAAAAAAAAAATTATTAAAATATAAAATTTGATATATATCGAAAGAGAACTCATAAATAATATTAATATTAATATAATAAAATATTAACAAGCCTTCTAGAGAGATAGAAATCAGAATAAATTAAGATTTCTAAGCGAAAAAAATAATGCATTTAAAAGATTCAGATATTAATGAAAAATTAATAAATAATCCAATCAATATACCTAGTAACGCAATAAAAATGAGACTCCTGATGACGACAGCTGAGTTCATTGTGCTCAGAACAAAATACATAACCGACATGGCGATTTGCACGCCGTATGCGAAGAGCGCCATAAGACTCTGTAAATATCCATTAATGTGAATGATGAAAACATCGCCTGTGGACAAGGCTAAAAAGAGTGCTCTCGAGAGCATGATTGAGAATGTGAGGCCGAATGCGAGAGTGGTGAGAAGGATCTTCCAAGCGTTCAGGATCTCCGCGCCGAAATAATCGTCCGTCACGCAGAAGGGCAGTGCCGTCAGTAGAGTAAATAGGTTGGCCAGGACGAGGACGATTGTGAAGACCGAATTGCCATGAAGAATTTCCTTGGTCGTGATATGATAGACAATAAAAATCATCGTGACGCAGCACATAAGAATACCACATACGATGACAATCAAGAAAACAGGAACATAGAAGCTGTTTTTTAGAAGATTTTTGCCAATGACATCTACTGAAATGTCAAAAATAATCGATACGTTATGGACAAGCGATATTAATCTCTCGAAAAATAATGCATATGTAATTTAAGAATTTGTGATAATTATAATTCCGATAGAAAATTTGTAGACATCATATATTAGATAAATTTTTCGATGAAAATTATAATAAAAGACGAAAACTAGAATTTAATATTTATACACGGAAAGAACGATTTTGCGCTGAACAATCTAAAAATAAATAAATAAATACATATAGATGAAGTATTTAAAAATAAATAAACAAATAAATACAGATCTGAAAATAATATTATTTTATGATCAAAATAACTAGGATCTAATTTCACAAGTATGATGAACAATGCTGTAAAAAGTTTTGACATTTTAGCAATCAGTTTGGATGACCTGTATAATTATTTTGATGGTCTGAAATTATTTTCATTCAATCTAAAATTATTTTCATATCTGTATCTATAGCTAAATTTTTAGATACTTTAGTAAAACCGTTCGTGTAGTTATACGTTGCAAGATTATTTGATAGCAATTTGGTGTGAATGACTCGTGTAATTGATGTACTCATAATAATTACATTCATTTTTACCTTTTGTATCGCGACTTTGAAAATTCGTGCAGTTTTCGCAATTCTTAATGAGGTACTCCAGACAGAGCCCTGGCATTTCGAATATCGTTTTCTTCGGGAGAACGCGTAACTTGGGCATTTCGATCTCGTAAAGAGCGACGTCGATGAACTCGTGCTGCATTTTCGTGGTAACCACGTATCTCAGCAAGTGTGATCCCGGTTGCATGTGGAGATGCTCGTAGACATCAAAATCGCGAATTTCCCGTTGCGATTCTAATGTCTGCGATTCTGGGGATTGCGTCATGATGCTACTCTCCTCGTCGATAGAGCAGCTTCTCTTGCGGAAATCCTGGAAGACTTCCGCCAACTTGATGATGGCCTTCCCAATGTCGAGAAGATACGGAGAGTGGTTCGCTGAGTTGTTGGAGTTCTCCAGGAATTCGCCCGCGCTTGAGAACTCGCCAAGATCGAAACGAGGAATTTCCGGTTTAATGACATATGATTCGGGTGGTATGAGGTCTGGAAAGTTGAAGATATTGTTGGTATGCTAAATTTAGATTAATATCTCTCTCATTTAAATTTCGGCTTACTATTAAATATCATTGGTAATATAATAAGTTATCGAAACTAAATTTCTAGAAAAAAAGATTATATGAATCTTTTTTTTATACATATTAAATATTATTACAACATTATTACATATTAAATTATATTACATTATTACATATTACATATTAAATTATGACATAATTAATAAATAATTAATTTTTATTGCGAAAAATATTACCTCGGCTGGGAATCGAACTCGGATCTCTTGTATTCCGTGCGAGTATATAAAACGCGTATACAAAACATGAACAGATTTCCATTTTAATTTTGCACATTGTAAGAAATCCTCGTTGCATTAGATTCACGTGAGTTAATTTATCTAATTGTTGTAGCAACATCGATTAACTATAATCGTAGTTTAACTACCTCCTCGTCTCGTTTTAACTTCAATTCTGGACAGAAACAAAAGGCCGCTCAAACTAAGGTTGAAGTTAAACGATGTTGGCGCGAAACTGTCTCTTAACTTTCAATTACCACAGCTACACTTGGATAATGTAACTGCTATTACGAACACAACTTGACGTCAATATTTAATGTAACGTAATAGTTAGCATTAATTTAGATTATTGTTTCTATGTTCATAGCAGAAAATTGTTGCATTAAAATTATGAAGACATTAGATAAATACTCTCACTAGCCCGATTCCCATCAGTCCTTTTCACTTTTATATTTGATTAGATAAATGGTCTTTCTTTTATTATAATATAAAATATAGACGTTTTGCATTACAAAATATATCAGAGACTATTATCTCTTAATAATTTCTCCATTATCCGTGGACACTTAAATTTACTTGCCGTTAATATCTGAATTATCAAGCGGCAGCAGGATCCATGTTTCTCCGAAATTTCTCGATTTTTCAAATTTCTCTTCCAGCCATCGTTGCACATCATTTCTCTTACCGATTGCGACTATCACCGTTTCCGTGACGTTCGCATACCCGTCACCGTTGACATGCCTGTCACTTCGTTTCACGCACACACCAGCGTCCTTCGTAACTTCTAGGAAATGATCGAGAACAGAATCCGTGCTGGCGTGCACCAGATCGACGATCTTGTACTTGGTACTCAGATAATGCGCCAGGATATCGATCGTGGGCACTGTAAAATCTCGTTCCTTGTAGATGCCGATTGGCAAACCGTTGTAACTGTGAAGATACTCCATCATGGGCTCATATTGGGATGGCATCAATATACCCATCTCATAATCTGGCGCGCAACTTTGTTCAACCGCTATTCGCAAAACTTGTCTAAACACTGTAATCCTATCATGACACGTGTCGAAGATTCTTACCCCTGTGTAACATACATAATAATTATTCATGAGAACTTATATTTCAAGTATTACACTTTAAAGATTATCATTTTTGAAATATATTAACAAATATACGGATACATTTCTAAAAACATATGTACATTTGATAATACATACATTTGCTAATATATAAATATTTTTTTAATTTTAGACAATAATTTTTTTAGAAGAAAATTTTATTTGCGATCATATTAATTTAATTGATCAACTATCATTAACATTTAATATCTGATTAATTTAATTTGCTCTCTGCTTAACAATACACTCAGAGAAAGATTTCTTCAATTCAAAGAAATGTTTCTTTACTATACGATTAAAGAAAGACATTTCTTTGATTTGAACACAATTTCTTTAAATCAAATAAATTTTTTTATTTAATTTCAAAAAATAATGTCGACGTTGAGTATATTGATAGATTCAATATGGCAGTTACTACGAATTACTCCAGCCAATCAGAGAAACATATCGATTACTTGACACTTTGCGAATCTCTGTTAGGGACTCCTGATTAGAAATCATATATTGTGGAATACACAGTTTCTAGGTTGAAATTCTTATTCTCTGTTCTCTGTTCTTTGTTCCTTTTATTGTGCGGAGCCCCATACACTATAGGATCTCTAGGTTATAGTACGATTAGTCACAAAAGTAAATATTCGGGTTAGGAAATCTGTCAATAGTTCACTGCTTTAAAAATACAAATTCACTGCTTTTAAAATAGAAACTTTAGCAGAGAATTTATGTTTTTAAAACATAGTGAATCACTGATATGATAGATTTTCTAACCCAAGTAGTCGTCGACTTTAATTATTAATAAGACTTTAAGGATTAATATCTCGGTTAGCGGAGCAGAGCGACACTTTTTTCTTTTCAAATCTTTATTTTTACGCGAAAACCCATCGATTCAATGTATTTTTATTAAAATTTGGGATCTTCTTAATTAATCTTCTTAATTTATCTTTGTCACTAATCGTACTATAACAATTAAATGGAATCAAAATGGCGGAGAATACCCACATATCTAGTGCCTTAGTAGATAGTATAGTGAGAATATACAGACCATGTGTGTGTGGGATAAAAATATAAGATATTCCATTGTGCGCATAATAGCGGCAGACTAAATCAGAAGCAACCGATCAAATGCTTGTCCCAAAGTTGGTGGAATTCAACATGGTAGCAATTATGTTCCTTTTTACAATTTGGGGCAATGTGTTGATTGGTCAAAGAGCAGCCGCCATGTTCAAGACGATTGCACGTCCTTGTGTGTGTGGGAATGGAATATTATATATTCTTATACCATGATATAGACGATTCTAATAAATTTTGTCAGTTTGCTGCAATCCTGCGAGCAGGTAAAGCTGCAAGCGTTTCGTAAAAAAATCATCGTTTACATCGTATTAGCAAAAAGCCGGATATCGAAAGCCGGCGAAAAAATGGAACAATTTTTATGATGAAGAAAAATTGAAATATTTTATGGCGATGTTTCGGAGAATGAAGCTTTGAGAATGTCCTGAGCG